GCTAATCTTCGCATTTTCTTAAACCTAGAACATCCCACATCCGTAACTATTTGCGAGCACTAATCAAATCTAGGTCTACCTCTACTCCTCTTAAGTCCTGTTTCTGCTATTTTCTGTTTCTTAAATTTCAGAATGTTTAAAAAGATCAATTTTTTATTTATAAATTTGAATCAGTCAGAGGCGTTACAATAACTAATTTTAAACAGCTTGTAGCTTAAATTTGAGCACTTGTGGTACAACAGAACGTTCACATCAAATCGTCATTGTATTTTGATTTGAATAGTTATGTTGTTACAAGACCGCCCGCGTTGATGAAAAAGGGAAATGGTAATGGGCACATCCAAACATTTTGTCAAGGAAATCACGTCCATGAGGAATCGATTTCCTTTCTCCAAATACAAGCCGAAAATTATAATTTTTGGTGTACTCCTTTTACAACTGTTGATTTTAAATGTATTACTTAATGAGTCCATGACTGAAAAATAATAATTTATGAACTTTTATTTTTATTCAGAATTAAAAGCACCTGTGTGTTGCTTGTTAAAGTTTCAAGTGTTAATACTAACTTAGATAGGGTGATACATACCTATAGCATTTTTTTAAGTACTTTAATATTGCGAAATAAACATCTATTGTCATCTATAACACTACGATTTTCTTCGCGGCTATCATTTAAAAGTATATACTTTTTTTTATCAAAAGTTCCCTAACATATGATCGTTTACTAAATAAACTAACTAATTAAGCAGGTCAACGTGGATCAGCAAATTAAGAGTCTCTTTAGATTTAGAGATATTGTACCCCCAAATTCCTAAGAAAGCAATTTTGGGCATATTTGTGAACCTTGTTACGTAAATTAAAAGGACACAGGATGTAGCCATCTTCCAGATAAATTTTATCGTCGAATTGAAATCTGACGTCCTAGAATTGCATCAACCAATTTTTTCTTCAATATCCGAATGATGCTAAAATGGCTTGTTTTGGATCTGATATTAGGATTTTTATAGAAACGGTAATGTGTTGCGTCCAAATTCGAGTTTGCCGCCGAAGAATCCAATCCAAAATGATTACTTCCTCTCACTGTAGTAGTTTCAAAAAACAGAGAACACTACTATTGATATGTCGGGTTGAAACATAAAAAGATGCGAAGAGGATAATCATTTTCAATACATTTTTCAAAGAGGAACTTAAATCTGGTCCTGCAATTTCCCTAGAACTTGGAGATTTCTCTACATATCCTTAATATCTCAAATCTCCAATCAAATCAAATTAGTAGTATGGGGATTTTTGAAATCTTGATTCTCATTCTCGACAAAAGTTACTTCAGAAATGACTTCTCTCTTAATTGTTTTGTCCTTGTTTACTTATAGTAGTCTCTCAAAAAGACGTAAAACTGCATTTATAAAAAGAGGATTCCATAAAATCCAGACATACTAAAGCAATTCTGATAACAAATTGAGACTAGCGTCACAAATTACTCCTTATGCCCTTTTGTTTTTTCCTTTTCAATTCCTGATTTCTTTGGCCTATAATTACAGGCATTTGTTGAAAAGAACTTTTAATCTTCTCAGATTAGGAGTGTTAATGCAAGTCCTTTTTTAAGGAGATTTACATCATTATAAATAATTTATATTTCCAGCAAATGTTTAATTGTATATTAATTTATTTTTATTAGGTGGCTAAGTAATAACTTTGTACAAATATTTAAATAAACTTCAACTTATTTTACATTTAATGATTTCCCTGTAATGTTTTTCTAAATATATAATCCGTACAATCTCCGTTGATATTATCGATGACACAAGAGAGTCATTAGTTGTCTATTTTTGACCCTGAAATGAATCCATTTACGTAAATGACCAAGCTTACCCCAAACCGAAAATAGTTGCCCTGGGGGATGGTGAATGTTTAAATTAGGTTGTCATCCTATTCAGTTACACCAGGTCATCATTCTCTGTCACCTTGACTGTTACTCCCTTGCCGAGGGATGGTTTAAGACGGTCTGACAGCGTTTTCGCTCGTATTTACACGAAATATCTTTGTTGACAAACATTTTCCTAAAGAAATTTCATGGTGGCCTCGCAGCGAGCGGTCTCTGCTGTTTCACACAGTTGTAATTCAACTCGGAAAGGACTTTTAAAAGATTTGCCCGTTTGACGTATTTACGGTTGTTTGAAGGATATTAGTGGGTGTTCCGCAGTTTGTTACTCAATTAGTTTTACAACCATATCGAAACGGGTAGCGCATTCCTGGAAAATTCTATTATAGTAAAGCAAAAAATAGAATTCCGTGCATTATTTGTTCTTCACAATACATAACATTACTATTCTGTTGTATTTTCTTTTGACTTGGAGAAGTCATTGTATAGTTATTATTGTTTAGTTGGAACGTTTAAAATTGACATAGTCCATACTAAAACTATCGCATTTACTTTCTCCTTTCAACTTACTGATTAGACTAATGCGGTTGCTGATATAACGCCTATTTTTGCTCACGACAGACGTTGTACTGAATTTCGTGAACATAGAAAAGAGATGCCAGGTAGGAATTGCAGCGGACACTAACAAAGAAAAAGGAATAACATTACATCAATTGTATTGTATGTATACGTATCTGTAATGGTGTGTGAATCCCACCAAATTATTGTAAGTGTGGCACCCTCATGTATAGCATGCGGCAGATGTAGAACCCCCATGTATTATGTGAGAAGGCGGAAAGTTGGTGGAAAAGATAGAAATGACGTTGTACAACATCAGAAGGTGCAGGTGAAATATCGAATATTGCAATAGAAATACACGCAACTTAACTAAATCATAATTTTACTTAACTTAATATTACACAGTATCTAAAAACTATTTTCAAGTTATTTTTCGATTCACGGATGACACCGTGGGTAAAGAATCATAATCCAATTTAGAAACAATAAGACAATAAAAGGAGTTAGAGATTGCTGTAAATAAAATGGAAGCGGTATTGGAAAAACATTACTGTATGAAAATAAATAAAAGTAAAACAAAAATACTGGTATGCAAGGGAAGAAAAAGTAGGGAAAGAGGGAATATAAAGAAAGGAGACGAATAATTAGAAGAAGTGGCTGATTTTAGGAATCTAGGAAGTGAGATAAGTCAGGATGAGAGGAGTAGTAGTGTTATAAAGTAGAGAATAGCGCAGGATCGAGTCGCCTTCAATAAAAAGAAGTCACTTCTATGGTCGCGAACGGTTAATTTAGAAATTCCAAAAAGATAGTTAAAGGTGTATGTTGGAACGCGGCGCTGCACGGGTGCGAAACATGGACGGTAGATGCGGCGGAAAAGAAAAGGTTAGAAGTGTTCGAAATGTGGTGTTATAGGCGAATGATGAGGATACCGTGGATAAAGAAGGTTAGAAATGAAGAGGTATTAAAAAGAATAGGAGAACAGGGGACTGTATGGAAGTCAATAAGAAATAGGCGAGATAGCCTCTTAGGACACCTTCTCAGGCATGAAGGTCTAGTCAGAGGCATATTAGAGGTAGAAATGGGAATTAGGAGGGGTAAAGGTGGGCCTAGATTAGATTACTGTTCGCAAATAGTTAAGGATGTGGGTTGTTCTAGTTTTAGGGAAATGCGAAGATTAGCTCAGGATAGGAGAGACACCTCCACCGTGTCCAACCAGTCTTAGAATTGATGACCTTACGATAACGATGAAGACATCTAATAAAGAGAATCGAGTTTTCAAGTGAAATCTATACATTTATTCTGACTTTGATTATGTTAGATATCAACCAATTACATTCGAGTTATAGAATATAGAGTACAGTCTATATTTCTTACAAAAATAACCCATTATATTAACCTCGTGGAAGAGTAGTAGTTCCACAATGCAAGTATTATTTCCTCTTCCGTTTTGCATACCGAAGTTACCATATACTTACCCGTGATGTGGTGACCGCAAACCGTATCGCATCGCGTCCTTCGATTATTAGAGAACTCCTGGCTGGAGCTATGATACCAGAACCATCCTTATGCATACCTACATAGCCAACACACGAGTTCGCGCGCGGGCTCATCAATCTCGACGAGGTAGGACATGCACGCCAACAATTATACGGATAAACAAAGTGATGTCGCCGTGTTTTATTTCCCCCATTGTTTCATTGTTTGTGCGCTCGTGAGACGCCTGGCGGGGGCCCAGTGATTTATCAGGGCACGTGGGGAATGCAGCCGGCGCCACTGGGGGCGCCCCAGCCGGCCCGACGACGAATACGTGCTCTGTGCTCTCCTCTCCTGTACTTTTGCTATGCCATGTTCAGGTTGCTTGCTTGCTTGCTTGCTCTTCTCCGTTTCTTTCTCATCGGTACCCTTAAAGAAACTGATAGTACTTTTCTTTCTTCAACGTTACCGCCAATGTTGTTGTTCCTTACCTTATTACTTATCCATCGGTCTGAGAATTCCTATTGTTTGCCGTTTAATAGCAGTTTACCGTTAATGCTTTGGTTGTTGAAAGCTTTGCAGTCGTGCCCGTAGGCGAAAGCTCAGATTTTTTTATCGGGGTAGACAATAAAGATGGTAAACGAGGTAGGCAGGTATGCCTTTCAAATCAACGTAAAATAAATCCGAAATTCAAAGACTAAATAGTCGGGAACGGAATAGTAAAAGGTAGTTATTACACCATCTAAAGCTAAAAAGTAAATTTAAATGAGATAAAAATGCATTTGGTAAAATATTTCAAAGCCATGCGTATTTACAGAATCATTCTATCTATATTTTACGTAAAATTTCGACAAATGATAGAAGTCAGTCACAATTTGGCAAGTGATTTCGTGATCTCTGGGTGTGGTACAAGACGAACATTAAAATTTATTAATTGGTGTTAAAAGCTGTTTAAAATTAGATTGCACTTAGTATTATTATCTATTATTGTTATTGCTATCAAATTTTATTAAAGTTTAAACACTTTCGACAAACAAGAATTTAAGTCAAGTTAACAAAGTGAATTAATTTTTTTTTGTATTTCTTTCAGAAGACGGCAGCTAAGAACGGATTTTGTGACAGGACCGAATTAAGGGGCCTCACACGCTATCGTAACTAAATGTTTGCTGTTAGAGATATAAGGGTAAGTTATTTTGGTACTTTGTAAAATTATTAGAAAATGTTATGGGTACGTGCTCCACACTAATAAGGTAGGTTAGGTGGGAATGGTTTCAACTACTGTGCACTACCAAGAATGATATCATCCAAAGGATGGTTTCACAGATGTGATTTATTTGAAATACTTGCATTTAAAATGCAAATACAAAATAAAAAGATACATATTTTTATCTGTATTGAAGTACTTGTTTGAGAAAAGCATTTTGTAGTTTATTTAAAATACTTCTCGAAACGTATTTTATATTTGTAAAATGCAAAACGCACTTTTGCAGTTGATAGTTTTGCTAGTATCCTCGATCTAACTATATAAAATGATGAATGAAAGTTGCTCGCATTGGACATTGGAGGTATTAGAAGCTTAAAAAAGGGGCAAAGTGACATTCCTTGAATGCCTTCTAATTATATATTATATAACTGAAGAGAGCCCAAAAAAGTCTAAACTTGGAAATAAATTATCTAAAATGTTAAATCGATATTGTTTTCCGGGTTCAATGTCATGGTCCATCGAATTTTGAAGCTCCAAATTGATATCAGCACGTGCCAAATCACCACTTATCGTACCTTTAGCAAGGAACTACGAAATTCCATGAATTACCACAAGACAGCCCGCAAAACAATATCGAATTGATGTATGCCAACTCTGTAAAACTGTAAATGTATAAGTATAATCCAAAATTCTTAAAAAACAATTGGAAAAACTTCACTTATTAGGTGAACCCAAAGCTAAAGAGACTACGGATTCCGTTTCTTTCTCTTACTACAATGTGTAAAAGATCAGAAACAAAATTGGATTGCAAATATTTTGATATAAAATGATTGATGGTGATTTTACACCAATAAAATTATTTGCAACCTTATTTTGGCTCTGATCTTTCACGCTAAGCAATCTATTTTGACATCAGTGTCTTAGTCTAGATTCTAGACTCTATAAAAACTCGAATATTTAAAAAATGAGCAAATGCCTGCAAGGTTTTCTTAAAAAATATTCTATACTTAAGTANTAAAAACTCGAATATTTAAAAAATGAGCAAATGCCTGCAAGGTTTTCTTAAAAAATATTTTATACTTAAGTAAATGTAGAAAATTCAACAGGTATTACAAAAAAGTATTTATTTGAAAAAAGTATTTTGAAAATACGTATTTTGCATTTAGCACTTAAAATGTAAAAGGGAAATCTATTTTGTATTTTGCATTTGAAATAACAAATCAAAAAATTTGCATTTTGAAAACCATTTTGCACATCTCTAGATGATTTACAGCTAATATAGTCTATATTATGGCGATGTTTTCTTGAAATTGATGCCGCTGATTTTAAGGAAAAGCTTCTGTAGATTTTAATGGATGTTGATATAGGTAAAGGCCTTGTATTAATGCACAAAAATACATACATACATACAAAGGTAAGCAGGAACAGCAGAATGTGAAAAATGATAGTTTGCCTACTAAACTGCTACAGTGTACACATCACATCGGCAATCAGGTATCGGTAACATAAACAGTCTATTATGGTTAGTCAATGAAATAAATCGTCTGAAAACGATTACATATTTTAATTGTGCAGACAAGAGCCGGTAAAATTAATGAGTCTGGGTTGGTACTGCGACCCACACACTCGCCAGGTAGATGGCGACTAAAACGACATCAACTGACACAGGACTCGCTCTCTAACACGTACCCATTTCGAATAAATGACATTAATTTACTTGAAATTAACAAGAAAGAAATACGTCTTATCTCACAACATCTCAGAAAAGTACGGTACTGTACTAAAATAAAAGTTTTATTGAAAACTGTACGTATTACCACTGAAATCATTTTTTAATAGGATACCAAGTGCGTTATCGCTTGAACTAGTGGTGCAGAAAATAGTAGTAGTCGATAGTAATAACATCATACTATTGTTAAGATTAAAAACAATTGCAAACACGTTAGTTTTCGTATATGTACTCTATTAGGAGAAAGATTTGTAAAAGAATTATTGTTACCGAATTGTATTTAATCACTCAAGTATTTGATTTACCTACATGCAAAAAGACACGTTAATTACCTAGCTAGAAATTGCAAATTAGTAAAAATCCCATTTCGACATGTGAAGGTAATTCAGTTTAACATGTAAATCAAAGCTGCTAGAACCCGAGCCCCGGGAACGAATTGAAAATGATCTGCGTGAACCAGTTTCAAAATTCTCGCCAGTTTGAAAGAGAAACTTTATATTGCCATCATAATCTGTAAGGGTGTAAAGCATTACGAAACTAAAATTAGATTACAGTCGTTTAAGAGCAAATTCCAGGACTAATAAAGTACAAAACAAAATGTACAAATTTATCTTCATCTTTTCACGATAAGCTTGACCGAACTAATCAGTTATCCTGTCAATAGTGAGTTGGAACTCAGTGAAGTGCAAAACCATTCTATACTAAAAAACCTTTTTGCAGAAAAAAAATCATTAGTTATAAACATCTTCAGAAGAATTTGGATTATTTCTGAAAATTGTGACTGACCTAGTCTTTCAATTATTAAGTAGTTTTGGATAAACATATGTTTCTGAAAAGTTTTTAAATATAAATACTCCGCATCTCTAAGTAACGTACTACATATTTGAATTTACAGAAAAATTATTCATTAAAACAAAATCAATCCCAGAAATCACATGGAAAGTACTAATTACTTAGATTTAGATTTTTATTACATAAAACATGACAGTAGATGCTATAGGGTTGTTCGGAAAGTCATTTCGTTTTTTCCCGACAGAGCATTTAATTGTATTCTTTTGCACCCAACTTCACATTTAAGCCGTATAATTTTTATATGCTTTGAGAGCTCATATAGCAAGGCTTGTGTGTGNAAACAGGTATTACAAAAAAGTATTTATTTGAAAAAAGTATTTTGAAAATACGTATTTTGCATTTAGCACTTAAAATGTAAAAGGGAAATCTATTTTGTATTTTGCATTTGAAATAACAAATCAAAAAATTTGCATTTTGAAAACCATTTTGCACATCTCTAGATGATTTACAGCTAATATAGTCTATATTATGGCGATGTTTTCTTGAAATTGATGCCGCTGATTTTAAGGAAAAGCTTCTGTAGATTTTAATGGATGTTGATATAGGTAAAGGCCTTGTATTAATGCACAAAAATACATACATACATACAAAGGTAAGCAGGAACAGCAGAATGTGAAAAATGATAGTTTGCCTACTAAACTGCTACAGTGTACACATCACATCGGCAATCAGGTATCGGTAACATAAACAGTCTATTATGGTTAGTCAATGAAATAAATCGTCTGAAAACGATTACATATTTTAATTGTGCAGACAAGAGCCGGTAAAATTAATGAGTCTGGGTTGGTACTGCGACCCACACACTCGCCAGGTAGATGGCGACTAAAACGACATCAACTGACACAGGACTCGCTCTCTAACACGTACCCATTTCGAATAAATGACATTAATTTACTTGAAATTAACAAGAAAGAAATACGTCTTATCTCACAACATCTCAGAAAAGTACGGTACTGTACTAAAATAAAAGTTTTATTGAAAACTGTACGTATTACCACTGAAATCATTTTTTAATAGGATACCAAGTGCGTTATCGCTTGAACTAGTGGTGCAGAAAATAGTAGTAGTCGATAGTAATAACATCATACTATTGTTAAGATTAAAAACAATTGCAAACACGTTAGTTTTCGTATATGTACTCTATTAGGAGAAAGATTTGTAAAAGAATTATTGTTACCGAATTGTATTTAATCACTCAAGTATTTGATTTACCTACATGCAAAAAGACACGTTAATTACCTAGCTAGAAATTGCAAATTAGTAAAAATCCCATTTCGACATGTGAAGGTAATTCAGTTTAACATGTAAATCAAAGCTGCTAGAACCCGAGCCCCGGGAACGAATTGAAAATGATCTGCGTGAACCAGTTTCAAAATTCTCGCCAGTTTGAAAGAGAAACTTTATATTGCCATCATAATCTGTAAGGGTGTAAAGCATTACGAAACTAAAATTAGATTACAGTCGTTTAAGAGCAAATTCCAGGACTAATAAAGTACAAAACAAAATGTACAAATTTATCTTCATCTTTTCACGATAAGCTTGACCGAACTAATCAGTTATCCTGTCAATAGTGAGTTGGAACTCAGTGAAGTGCAAAACCATTCTATACTAAAAAACCTTTTTGCAGAAAAAAAATCATTAGTTATAAACATCTTCAGAAGAATTTGGATTATTTCTGAAAATTGTGACTGACCTAGTCTTTCAATTATTAAGTAGTTTTGGATAAACATATGTTTCTGAAAAGTTTTTAAATATAAATACTCCGCATCTCTAAGTAACGTACTACATATTTGAATTTACAGAAAAATTATTCATTAAAACAAAATCAATCCCAGAAATCACATGGAAAGTACTAATTACTTAGATTTAGATTTTTATTACATAAAACATGACAGTAGATGCTATAGGGTTGTTCGGAAAGTCATTTCGTTTTTTCCCGACAGAGCATTTAATTGTATTCTTTTGCACCCAACTTCACATTTAAGCCGTTTAATTTTTATATGCTTTGAGAGCTCATATAGCAAGGCTTGTGTGTGAAAAATTCCAATTAATTCTACGCAGTAGTTTTTGGTTGGTGCCCTTTTAAATATGGAGAGCGATAAGCAGCATTTTCGACATATCTTACTGTTTTACTACAGAAAGGGTAAAAATGCTGTTCAAGCCAGAAAGAAATTGACTGATGTGTATGGAGAAGGTGTGTTGACAGTACGCCAGTGCCAGAACTGGTTCGCTAAATTTCGATCCGGCAATTTTGATGTCGAAGATGCACCACGTTCGGGAAGGCCGGTTGAAGCTGATAAAGACGCGATAAAGGCATTAGTTGATGTGAACCGGCGAATAACAACACGTGAGATCGGATTGAGGTTAAATTTATCAAATTCAACAGTTTATGACCACT